ACCTAAGTAATACCATTCAGGACATAAGCATGGGTAAGGACTTCATGTCTAAAACACCAAAAGCAACGGCAACAAAAGCCAAAATTGACAAATGGGATCTAATTAAACTAAAGAGCTTCTGCACAGCAAAAGAAACTACCATCAGAGTGAACAGGCAACCTACAGAATGGGAGAAAATTTTTGCAATCTACTCATCTGACAAAGGGCTCATATCCAGAACCTACAAAGAACTCAAACAAATTTACAAGAAAAAACAAACAACCCCATCAAAAAGTGGGCAAAGGATATGAACAGACATTTCTCAAAAGAAGACATTCATACAGCCAACAGACAGTGAAAAAATGCTCATCATCACTGGCCGTCAGAGAAATGCAAATCAAAACCACAATGAGATACCATCTTACACCAGTTAGGATGGCAACCATTAAAAAGTCAGGAAACCACTGGTGCTGGAGAGGATGTGGAGAAATAGGAACACTTTTACACTGTTGGTGGGATTGTAAACTAGTTCAACCATTGTGGAAAACAGTATGGCGATTCCTCAAGGATCTAGAACTAGAAATACCATATGACCCAGCCATCCCATTACTGGGTATATACCCAAAGGATTATAAATCATGCTGCTATAAAGACACATGCACACGTATGTTTATTGTGGCACTATTCACAATAGCAAAGACTTGGAATCAACCCAAACGTGCATGAGTGACAGACTGGATTAAGAAAATGTGGCACATACATACCATGGAATACTATGCAGCCATAAAAAAGGATGAGTTCGTGTCCTTTCTAAGGACATGGGTGCAGCTGGAAACCATTATTGTCAGCAAACTATTGCAAGAACAGAAAACCAAACACTGCATGCTCTCACTCATAGGTGGGAATTGACCAATGAGATTACTTGGACATGGGAAGGGGAACATCACTCACCCGGGCCTATTATAGGGAGGGGAGAGGGAGGAGGGATGGCATTGGGAGTTATAACTGATGTAAATGACGAGTTGATGGGTGCTGACGAGTTGATGGGTGCAGCACACCAACGTGGCACATGTATACATGTGTAACAAACCTGCATGTTGTGCACATGTACCCTAGAACTTAAAGTATAATAAAAAATAAAAAAAAATAAAGGGTCTTAGTAGTCTTATCTTTTTGGGCTACAGTAGTCTTCCAATGACCTTCACTAATGGTCCTGAAAATATTAAGAGGTATCTCAGTGAATCCCATTTTCCCGTGGCAATCAGGATTAATCACCCAGCTGCTAAAGTAACCTACTTATCTGACTGTTGATTTCCTTTTCAGGAATTGAGACCTCTAGACCAGCAAAGCTCAAGATTATGGAGACAGAAACAAAAACTCTAAATGTGGCTCATTAGGTTTAATAACCAGGGGGTAACTCCTAATCAGAGGGGCAAGGAATGTTTGGAAACATTCTTTGTTTCCAAAACCATGTATTCTAGCTATGAAAGAACCGACACTATATGTTTATTACTGCTTAAAAGCATATGCTACATCCTGTAGCACAGCATCCCAATCGTTGCAGGTAGCTGTTTCTCAGCTGTCATTATTTTCAGTCTTCAGTAAGCTATTCTGCAATTCTCTCAGGTCAGCTGCTTCTAAGTGATATGGTACATTGCTGCCATGGTGACATATGTTAGTTGGTCAAAAGCAATCTTGTGTGGGTTACCAAGATAAGAAGTAAACCCTATAAGTTGTGTAAGTTCACAAAGAGTGGTACTGGGAGAAGCATGGTGGTGGGCTGGGAAGGCAGTCATAACAATACATATTCCCAGAAACAAATTAACAAGATTTTGCTTTCTTTGGAGTCTATATCCTCCATGAGCCCACTTGGCAGTTCTCTCCCTGGTTGTGCTGGGACCTGATTCTTCCTGTGGCCCTGGAGAAAAAGAAGCATGGTAGGAGTGGATCTCAGTGGGCTGAGGCATTTCCTTTCCTAGAGTCAGTAGGGACACTATAGAGATTTTAAGCAAGGGAAAGATTATTTCTTCATATGGTAGGGGTTGGAGGCAAACTTCCACATACCAAGGAGATTTGAAGGAGTCAGCATGTTTAAAGTACTTACCTGCCTCTGAGTCCACCTAAATACACCTGTGGACAGATTTCAGCTTACCAAAGGGAATTGCTTTGAATACTTCTCACTAAACAGCTGCTGCAGAAGCCCACAGTCTTTCTCTCCAGGGAGGTGTCTGAGCACAAGCTTAGTTATTGTCTGGAGATTCCAGAAAGTCATCTTGGGGTGAACATTAGAAGACTTTTAAAGCTACTTTCTGGCCTGGTCATCAGGGGGCGTGGGCTCTGTTCAGGCTCTGTCCTCACTTCTGTGATATCTTCAGTCAGTCACTACCCTTTCCTGAAACTTTGTTTCTTTCTTCTTGCTCAGAAGTGGATAAAGGCCTACAACAATGGTTTTCAAACTTGTTTTAAACCACAGAACCATTTCCCCAAAGTAAGTATCATACCTAAACTGATTATGGACACGACCAGGCAACTTTAAAAAATACTATTATTTTGTTTTGCTTCCTGCGTTTTCCTTTTCCAATGAAGGAGCCAAGTCATTAGTATTTCTTAGGTGCAGGGATTTTTTTTTTCCCCGTTCCAAATCAGAAACCGTGTGATACTCACTTATTTTATAAAAGTGCCCAAGATTAAGAGATTGAGTTGCGGCTGGGTGTGGTGGCTCACACCTGTAGTCTCAGCACTTTGGGAGGCCGAGGTGGGCAGATCACTTGAGGTCAGGAGTTCAAGACCAGCCTGGCTAACATGGTAAAACCCTGTCTGTACTAAAAATACAAAAATCTGTCGGGTGTGATGGTGCACGCCTGTAATCTCAGCTACTCAGGAGGCTGAGGTAAGAGAATTGCTTGAACCCAGGGGGCACAGGTTGCAGTGAGCTGAGATTGCGCCACTGCACTCCAGCCTGGCTGATCAGAGTGAAACTCTGTCAAAAAAAAAAAAAAAAAAAAAGGGATTGTGTTGCAGCATGCTTAGTGCACACTGAGATGAGAAAGGGCATGTCCTTGATAGTTACATGATCCTAGAGGGAGATTTTACTCCATGCCACAATAGTGTAGTGCTGTGTATATTTGGGACAGGGAGGCACTAACCTAGAGCTAGTACTTCTGTTCAACTCCCAGGCAGTACTCCATATTAGCGGCAAGACCTTGGAGAGGTGACTGCTGGGAGTGTTTAGCAGGGTGAGCTTAACACAGGGCAACCCTCATTCAACAAAATGTCATATACTCTATCGGTGACCTCCAAGCCAAGAACTTCCTAACATTCACAAGTCCAGGTAGTTTTGGAAACTACAAATGTAGCAGTAATCAAGTGGCCTAAACAATAGAGGCATTGCTCCATTTTCTCAGCCTGCGTGAGCCTTCCTGATTCTAGTTTCATTCTGTACAGGTAGGAGCTTGTGTAATGACAGGGATTATGCTTCTGGTGGTCCAATCAAATGGGTGTTTTTCCTACAATTTGAATCTTTATAATAACGTTCATCCTTGCTACTTTTTAAACAAATGAAAATAAGCCTGCCCTAGTTGTCTTCTTCCTGCCCTGCTATGCTTCCCCTAGGTGAAGACGATGCTCCATTGAACAGTTTGACAACTTCATGTCTGGAAAGTAAATGATTAAAGTCGTTTTCAAATCCCATACATTGTTTTTCTGGAGTCACACATGACAATATTCATACAAACTGTATGAATAGCTGGCCTTTCTTCATATCTTCCCACTTAGGATACCCAGAGACCCACGTGGTTCCATAAGGGCCTTGCTACTGAGATGCCAGGCCACCTCATGCCCTGGCAGAGAGGGGCCTCAGAAAAACCAGAAATAAAAATAAGATACAAATACTTTAATCACATGGATTTCCATATATGTCTCGATCTTGTGAACTAATCTGAAGGATAGAAAGGGAGTGAAACAATTTGGATGGAAATTCTCAACATTGTCAGTTTCACTTGGGTTCAGATGATAGAGTCTGTTATTGTGTTCTCTTACTACCCTCTATGCCTGGTACATAGTAAGTGCTCAATGAGTATTTGTTTGTTGATTGATAGAAAAGATTGTGCTTTCCAGTCCTTCTGCAGAAAGGAGTCCTTTTGAACCCAAAGGGCTGATGTAGCCCAGGTGGCTAGCAGGGAATCTTAGCCTAGAGGCCAGCAGTGACCAAGAGGAACAGGTTTAAAGGGGCTCAGCCTGCTGACTGCCCAGGTGGGCAGTGAACCTTGAGTGTATGGGAGGACACTGGGCTGGATGGGAGGGGTTGAGCTGGCTCTACCTAGGGGAGAGATGGAGCCAAGGGTTGGAGAGAGACCTTGCCAGCCTTGTCCTCCGTGGGTCTTACCTGGTGCCACACAGGCCTGGTTTTTCTGAGGCCCCTCTCTGCCAGGGCATGAGATGAGCTGGCATCTCAGTGGCAAGGCCCTTATGGAACCACATGGGTCTCTGGGTATCTTAGGTGGGTAGATATGAGGAAGGGCCCAGATCAGGTCAGCGTGGACTGGAGAGGACAAAAGTTGGTGGATTCTGAGAACACTCAGCAGGGATGAAGAGAAGGGGCAGCCAAGAGGCTGAAGGACGAGTTGAGCTTTGAGCTCAGAGGAGGGTAGAGAAACTAAGCCCAGGGGAGAATGAGGAGCCCCAGTGGGGGATGAGGAGTTAGGTCCCATGGTATTATCCCTTTTTTCTCTGTCATGTAACACTGGAGAAGGAGGTAAGAAGTTTTCGCTAAGCCCCAGGACCAAAGTGGTCCATGTTGTCTCCTGATGGTGCTCAGCTTCAGCCCTGGCAGAAGGGCAGGCCCTGGAGAAACTGGTGTGGATAGGAAAGAGCTGAATATCAGCTTTGCGTGGGGGTTTGGGGAGGTGGCAAGGGGTGAGGGGAGAGGAGAAAGCAGAAGACAGCAAAATTGTGTCATTGGCCTGCATAGCACAGAACTGGTGCCTGAGAATGAGGGTCAATGAATAAACGAGAAACCAGCCTTTGCACTCAACCAAGAGGTATTTATTCAGTTGCTGGCACCTCTCCCAGTGTAAATCTGGACTCGGCTCCGAGAAGGTGGTTCATCACAGAGGGGGCTTAGTTTGCTTTCTGTAGTTAGTGGCGTTTCATGGTTTTCTTTATCCAGCGTACAAAGCTTGAGACTTTGGTGCAGACTCGTGGAGGCTTGCCATTGCTTCGTCCATAGGAGACAATGCCCTGGGCCACCTTGTTACACACAAGGGGGCCTCCAGAGTCCCCCTGTGAATAGACAGTGGAAGGACTGAGTTGATGCTCCTCTGGGTCCTGCCCTCTCTGCCATCTCAAGCCCCCGCTTAGAAAAGGCCAACTTGCACAGCGTGCATGTGGGAGATGAGAGGGCAGGGCAGGCTGCTGGTGGCCCCCAGCTGCCAAACTCTGGCTCTGGACATTGTTACTGCTTCACCTCATCCCAGCGGCCAGCCTCTGTCATCTCCCCCAGATCCTGGGATCACAGGAATGTGGGACCGTTGGCTGTTTAAGGACCCAGAAACGGGCAAGGAGGGCTGACATCCACCATGGAGGACCAGCCCATTAACCACGTTGGGTACTGACCTCTGAAGACACACCTGGTTGTAATTACTGCACTCCCAGTGGGCACAGTTTCCTAATATCTGTGACCTGGAGTGGGTAGAGTGTTGCAAATTCATCCTTCCAAAGGAGCACATCCACCATAAGCCTCCTCGTAAGTTTGCAGAGGCCCTAATTTCTCCCCAGCTCTGTCTAGTCCCCTTTTCTCTTTCCAGAGAGAAAGACCACAGTCTAGTGGGTGAAGGAGTTCCCCACTGCTTAGGTCTGCAGGTCTCAGATCTTCCCCAAACATCTTTCTCCCCAGAGCCAATCCAGGCAGATGCATAGTCTTACCTTAAAGGAAGCCTTTTGAATCTCTGGGTCCCCCACGCACAACTCAACAGTACTGTCGTAATAATGGCCTAAGCGGGATTTGCACGTTTGATCATCCTCCACTGTCAACTTCACCTCCTGCAGTGTGTGTGAGTATTTTCCCTCGGGGGTCGTCTGTCCCCAGCCGGCCACATCACACACCTGCCCTGGCTTCACCTGGGCCTTGTTCCTAGGTAGCCTGAGGGGCTTCACAGCTGTGGTCCGCTTGGCCTTTCTCTCCAGCTGGTGGGGAAGAGGCAAGAAAGTTCAGGTCAGCCAACGAACTTCTGGGCCCTGACACAGTGATGGGACTATGCTGTCTTCTCTCTCCTCTGAGGCACAGGAATTAACCAAAAGGCCAGGATGGAAAGGAGGGAAGGGCCTGCATCACAGTGGGAGTGGAACTAACTGGACTTCTTGCTCAAGAAGAGCAAGAGTGTGCCTCACCTGTAGTAGCATGATGTCGTTGGAAAAGTTCTCAGGATTATAGGCTGGGTGGGGGATGGCTCTTTTCACAGGGATAATCTGCTGGGTCCGCTCCTGTTCCTTGATATTGTGGGCCCCCAAGGTGACATTTATGGAGCTGCACAGAGAGCAGAGTGAGGATGGGGGCGGAGTCACAGAGGATACAGCCCAGAGACAGTGAAGAGCAGGTGACAGCTGGGGCAGGGCTGCAGTTGAGGGGAAATTAAGGGGACAGTCTGTCCCCAGGAATTGGAATTCTGGTAATTGCACCATGTTTCTCAGGGGTCGGTTCCCCCTTGAAACACAGGTGGAATTGCTTCAGTTTGTATTCTTATGCCAAAGTATGCCCCCAGTTCTAAATATGGCAGGCTTGGTCACTCTGCTATTTCTTACTTCAGCGGCGCCTCTGGAACCAACCTTCCCCCGTCTCCACAAACTTACCTGCCCTTTTCTCACGCTCTAAGGAGCCCTCCTGGCATATGTGTTCCCAGGAGCCCAAGGAGCTCCTTGGGAAGAAGGCAGGGGTCTCTGTGGAGTGTTTCCGGGAAGGTGTGGGCTGTTTTCTGCTCCTCACCTTCCCCAACAGTGAGCAGCTGTCAGCACGAAGTCCTCTCGTATCAGGAAGCCACCGCACCTCTTCAGAGACTTCTGATCCCAGATCATAAGATAAGCCATATAGGGGCGGGAGTGGGGCTTGACCTCATGTCCCCCGATGATCTCCCCTGAAGGAAAAGTCTCTCTGCTTGTGTGCACCCATGGAATCTGCTGGGTGGGCACCTGCTTGATGGCTCCAGAATTCCTGGGCATTTGGGAACCTGGGATAGCCTGGACTTGGGAGGGGCCTGGAGGAAGGGGTTTCAATTTCCTGCTCTGTGAAAGGGAAGAACAGCAGACTTTGGTCTGTAAATCTTTCTTCCATATGTAGTCGAAGGCAAGCATACCTGTCTTAGGGACAGTGAAATCCCAGAGGCTCCTGATCATTCCTTTCCTGACTTTGCTTTGTTTCAGGTGAGTTTCCAAGACCCTATGAGTCCCATGGTTTCTAGGATAGCGCTGCTTTCTAATGGCCAGAGCATAAGTGGAGGGATCTAGATACTGTCATATCCTATTTCCTAGCACCTGACATGTAGTGGGTGCCCAATAAATGTTCATGGCTGCATTATGGACTGGCTGCAGTTAGCCTCTGGATGAGGGCTGGCAGAGCAGTGCTGGTGGAATTCTAGAAAACAGGGAAGTTCGGGCTTGCCATAGTGCCTCATTCTTGGAAAGAGGGGGGCCACCAAAGGCCAGGGAAGAAAAGCAGAGTTGGAGAATGGGACTGAGCAAACACATTAACAGTGTTCTGAGGACAGTGATTGCACCAGTTCTGCTGTCAGCTGAGCTCTGGGTTTCTCTCCTAAGTAGACGGTGAGAGAAGGACCTGTGTTATCCCAGAAACAGAACCCAGGCCTACTCTAGAATAATTTAATATTTCTCTTTTCTAGTTTCCCATCCTCTGCCATTTACTTCTAGGAAAGTCCTGCTCTCCAGGTGACAAAGGTGGGCTCTGGAGAGGGGATAGTACCCACTGGCTCTTCTTGAGAACGGCCTTCTGCTCTGCCATTCCTGCTGATAGCTTATCCAGCATCACACCTGGGGGGTCTTGGTACAATGGGAGCTGGAGTTCAGAACATTCCTGGTAGATAGATGGATCAGGAATGTGGAGAAAGGGCAGGAGACCTATGGGATGGGGTTGGGCCCCCGAGGGTGGAGACGATCACTCACCTGCATCTGTCCTGGGCAGCAGGAGGAAGGCCAGCAGGAGCAGGATTGGTTGCATCTTCTCAGAAAGGCTGTCCTGGTTGGAGCTGCTGTTGTTTCCTCCTTGCTCTCTTTTAGCTCTTGGGAGAGGAAAGAGGTGGAGCAGGCTCAGTGACTTCATGTTCCCCTCTGGTTTTGTGGTGTCTCATCACAGATTTTCTGAGAATGCTGCCCACCCCAACTGCTTCTGCCTGATGACGTCCTCTGGGTGCTTGTGTGAAAATCATGCAGTGACCACATCAGCACCCACAGCTGATGACTCAGAGTAGACTACCTATTCAGCCCAGAGCAGGAACCCAAGCATATGAAGTGAACTGTAGGATATGGTATCAGCCAGTAGAGGTACTGAAGCACCAGAAACCTGAGTTCCCAGTGATAGAACCCCAATGCCTCAAGGCCATGCTGCTAAATCCATCAGGATAGTTTCTTTAGCAGTTTGTGCTAGAACCAAGCATGTTGGAGATGTGTCTCCTTCCCTTAGAGAGCTGACCATCTGGTTGAAGAGACAAATGCCAGGAGCCAGAGTACAGTTAGGGGAGGGCTATGGTAGAGCCATACACAAGGTAGTAACAAAGTGTGGCCACCATCTACTAGACACATCTAGCAACCCATTTATTATCATAGCTTTCTTTCTAGGGAATTTCTAACATCCTTTATTTAGTTACAAATGTTTAGTGTGAGAGTTCACCTCTTTTCTGAACGCTTTCAATAAAAGTCCTGTACTTGACATTTTATTGGGCTAGATTAACGAATTGCTAGGAATTGAATCCACTTTGGGTAGGCTGGGGTCAGTCCACTCAAGCCACTAGAACCAAGAATGAGAAAAGGCTGGTTCTCTAAAGGACGTCTGTAATGCTAAACTGCTGATACCATGTGAAGTGAGGAAGCATGCCAGGCAGCCAAAGATAAGTAGTTGTCTTTTTTAGTATTCTGTCTCCTGTCCAGAGAGCCACACTTCTTACATAGCAGGCTCAGCACATAATAGGCACACAGTAAACATTTGCTAAACAAACTACACTAATGCTATCGTTATGATGGATGTGAAAGATGGTTGTTTCTAAACAGCCTGTGCCCAATTCTATTAAAAAAACAACTAAATCTCTCTACGTGGTTTGATTATTGTGACCTGTTTCTGTCTTCGTATTTTCTGTATTTTACAATTTTTTCTATGAAGAATGGTATATCTCAAAATATAGAATTCCAGTGTAAATGTCTTCCTTGTCAATAGCAAGCCAACTACATTTATCAGACTTCTGTTTTTTGACCCTAGCTTGCCCCATAGTAGACGTTTAAAAATTTTTTTTTTCTGATTATAGTCATAACATATGTTTATTAAGAAAATTTGGAAAGTAGGAAGGGAAAATATCACTTATTAATCTGTCTCCCACAGACTGACTGTTACCATAAGCAGTGTGTTTTAAATACTTGGGATCACATTGTACAGACAATGCAATTTATTTTATCTTTGCTTAACCCTACAAATTAAGCATTTTCCCCATGCTTGTAGAAACTATTAGTCAATACAACTATAGTCTTTCTTTCCTAGGCATTAAAAAATTTAACATGCAAGTAATTTTTAAATAATTTGAGCAAAGAGAAAATAATTAAAGTTACCTAATTTCTCATAATTCACTGATAACCATCTTTAATGTCTTGAAATATGCTCTAGCACATTTTTTCTCATGTAATATCTGTCTTTTTTAAAATTAAAAGGGGATTATGCTAAACATAAGTTTGTGACCCATTTAAAAAATTGAGGTAAAATTCACATAACCTATAATTAACCATTTTAAAATATTCAATTCAGTGACATTTAGCACATTCAAAATCTGCAGCCACCACCTATGGATATTTCATATAAACGGAATCACACAATACATGACCTGTTGTGGCTGGCTACATTCACTTGTAATAATGTTTTTGAGATTCATACAAGCTGTAGCACATGCCAGTACTCATTCTTTTTAATGGCAAAATAATGTTCCCATTATGTTTATACCACAAGTTATTTGTTCATCTGTCAATGGACATTTGGATTGTTTCCATCTTTTGGCTATTGTAGCTAATGCAGCAAAAAACATTTGTGTACAAATTTCTGCATGAACAATATGTGTTCAGTTCTTTTGAATATATACCTAAAAGTGGAATTTCTGAGTTATGTAATAATCTTATTTTTAATTTTTTAAGGAACCACCAGACTATTTTCCACAGTGGTTGTACCCTTTTATACTCCTATCAGCAAAATAGGAACGTTCCTATTTCTCTGCATCCTTGCTGACACTTGTTATTTTAAAATGACTATCTTCATTCTGATGGGTGTAAAGTAGTATGCCACGTGGTTTTGATTTACATTTCCTTTATGACTAATGATGTTGAGCATCATTTCATGTGTTTGCTGGTCATTCGAGTATCTTCTTTGGGGAAATGTTGATTCAACTCCTTTGCCCATTCTTAAAATTGCATTGTTTTTGTTTTCATTGTTGAGTTGAAAGAGTTCGTTATATATTCTGGATACTAAGTCCTTATCAGATATGTGGCTTGTAAATATTTTCTCCCATTCTGCAGATTGTGTTTTCATTTTCTTGATATTGTCATTTCATGTGCAAATTTAAAGAAATTTATGAATTCAAATTTATCAGTTTTATCTTTTGTTCTTGTGCTTTTGGTGTCAAATCTAAGAATCCACTGACGAATCAGAAACCTTGAAGATTACTTCTGATTTCTTCTAATAATTTTATGGTTTTGGCCCTCATATTTAGAGTTGATTTATTTTAATTATTGTATGTGACACGAGGTAGGAGTCCACTAGACTATTTTGCACGTGGCTATCCAAATTGTTCCAGCACCATTTGTTGAAGATATTATTCTTTCCCCACTGAATGTTCAAGACCCCCTTGACAATCCTTATCAAAAATCAAATGGTCATAAATGTTGAATTTATTTCTGGACTCTGAATCTATTCCATTGATCCTTATGTCTATCCTTATGCCTTTGCCATGCTATTTTAATTACTGTAGCTTGTAGTAAGTTTTGAAATTGAGAGGTGTCAGTACTCCAACTATGTTTTTCTATTTCAATATTCGTTTTGCTTTTTCAGATCCTATGGAATTACATATGGATTTTAGGATTGGCTTTCCATTTCAGCAAAGAAGACCATTTTAAATTTTGACACAGATTGCACTGAATCTATAGATTGCTTTGGGAAGTATTGCCATTTAACAATATGAAGTATCCCTATCCGTGAACATGGGACATCTTTCCATTTAATCAGCAATTATTTGTGGTTTCTAGTGTACAATTCTTTCACTTCCTTGGTTAAATTTAGTCACATGTATTTTATTCTTTGGGATGTTATTATACATGAAATTATTTTCTTAGTTTCTTTTTTTAATTGTTCATTGTGGGTTTGTGTATAGAAACACAACTGATTTTGTACCCTGAAATTTGTTGAATTTGCTTATTAACTCTACTAGTTTTTGTGTAGATTATTTGGGATTTTCTTTATATACAGTCATGTCATCTGCAAATAGAAATAGTTTTACTTCTTCCTTCATAATTGGATACCTTTTATTTCACTTTCTTACTTAATTGCTCTGTTTAGGAATTCCAGTGCAATATTGAATAGCAGTGATGGAAGTGAGAATCTGATCGGATTTTCTATTTCTTTTTGAGTTTTTTTTGGCAGTTTCTGTGTTTCTAGTAATTTGTCCATTTCATCTAGACTATCTAATTTGTTGGTGTACAAATGTAGATAGTATTCTTGTATAGTCCTTTTAATTTCTCTAAGTTTGGTAGTAATATTTTCACTTTTATTTCTAATTTTAGTAATATAAGTCTTCTCCAAACTTCACCATCTCCTATATTTTTCAGGGCCCTGGGGAGAAAAATTAAGGAGGGGCTGAAGAATCAAAGTCTTTTGTCTATATCTCTGATGTTAGATTCTGAATCTGTCAGAAGAGAGAGGTACCTCAGTGGCTACCATATGGTGATGGAAAAATTTATTTAGATTACACACTCTCTTCGCTTTTATTCCTTATTTCCTGATGTTCTTTCTTAATCTGTAGAAGAATGTCATGCCTTGTCCATGAAAGGAAATACTCTTGGGTATTAGCCTTTCACTGAACCACAGCTAGTCCCTTTTGGAAGTGGCCAAGGCCAATCCTTATAGGTAAATGAGAACAGCACAATGACATGACATTTTCACACTCATACATGACATTTGATTCTGATGTTGTGGCCTGATTTCCCTGAGCTTGATCATTCTTTTAAGTCATGGCAAAATCAGAACCTACAGGCATAAAGAGCCAGAAGTTGGCCCCAGATTTCATTTGACCATGAGACTCAGCTATGTTGTAGAGAATAAATTATGTCTGTCTGTCTTTCTTTCTTTCTTTCTTTCTTTCTTTCTTTCTTTCTTTCTTTCTTTCTTTCTTTCTTTCTCTCTCTCTCTCTCTCTCTTTCTTTCTTTCTTTTTTTCTTTCCTTTCTTTTTGAGATGGCATCTCGCTCTGTCACCCAGGCTGGAGTGCATTGGTCCGATCTTGGCTCACTGCAGCCTCTACTTCCTGGGCTCCAGCGATTTCGTGCCTCAGCCTCCAGAGTAGCTGGGATTACAGGTGTGTACCACCATGCCTAACTAGTTTTTGTGCTTTTAGTAGAGACAGGATTTCACCATGTTGCCCAGACTGGTCTTGAACTCCTGGCCTCAAGTGATCTACCCACTTTGGCCTCCTGAAGTACTGGTATTGCATGGGACTGCATCACACTTGTCCTGTAGAGAAGAAGTTCTTGTCTCAGTTAAAAGTTATCTCTGCATTCCTATTAGAATAGGATGTTAGTCAGAATTTCTGGGATATGTACATAAAATAAAAAATAATTTGATATAAAAAATCTGTCAGCAAAGAAGAACTAAGGTAACTTATTAGAGCGGAGAATGTGGTATTTCCATTTTGCCTCTGTGGTAGTAAGGATTGGGAAGAGGGCAGAGATGGGAAGAGAAAATTGTTTCTAGGACAGACATACATCTATTATTTTTCCAGAGTTTGAGTATCCACTAGAACACCCTTTAATTTTTCCTTATTACCTATTCTTATCGTTGCCCAGCCACCATCACAAACAAAAAAGGATGGAGAAGAACAAGGTCTGGATGTTGGGTTGGGGATAATTCAGTAA